CATATTACTCTGTTAAATAATTTTCCAGTAGTTCCTTCATGTGCTAGTCGAAAATCAGCAACCGGATATGTTCAAAATAAGTGATCCACTGACTGGATTCGTCCAAGAAATAAGCGAACTTTAACCAGATTCAACGGATTCGTTGAAAAATAAGATATCCTCTGACCGGATTATAAACAGACGGGGTCTTAGGTGTCCTTATCAAACACTCAAACAGTAACTACTAGAGCGGTAAGCTTGTCCAAAAAATACACGTACAATTACAAATAGATACACTACAAATAGACAGATCTACACTTTAAGGAGGTTATTAGTAGAATATATAGTAGAATATACAGTAAAATAACCATTAAAATCACATTATGAAATCCTGTGTAGTCTGCACCCAAACAAACAAACGGGCTTGTGCATGGATTACATGCAATTTCTGTGGGAATTGGACCCACTCATCTTGTGCAGATATTCATGGAAAACCTGAAAGCATTCTGTAACAGATTTGAAAATAAAGTCTGGGCAGGATGGTGCTATCGCCCTTCGTGCAAATGCTGTCCTGGTAGACAGTGACTGTATGACTGGAGATGCTGTCCTGGTAGAAAGGAACTGTAACAATGGAGATGTTGTCTTGGTGGACAGTAACTGCAAGCATGGAGAAATCAATATTAGTGGCCTGGAGGGAGACAGGAGCTGTAGTGTGGAAACAGGTGTAGTCAAGGAAACGAGAAAAAATTTATTACACACTAGCAATACCACAGGAGATAGTAAGCAAGGGGATGCCCATAGAAATAGTGAAGATAAATTACCAGAAATAACTGGTGAAAGATCCATTGTTAATACCAGTGAAGATAGAAATGAGACAGGAAAACATGCACAAGCAGGGAATACAGTCACAAAAAACCAAGGCAAACAGAAACCAGGCCTATGGAAATACTATGCACTTGATATCTGCAGGTATGGAATATCTGGAAAAATGCCGTGCCCATATGACAACAGGAAAATGCAACCTCCCATCTTGTAAGCATTTCCACCCTGAAATGTGTTACTCTTCAGTTCAGGAAAGACAGTACTATAACTTATATTGCCAGGCACAGCACCTAAAGGGGACAAAAAGATACAAAACATCCAGACCATGGAAAAACCTGGGTAGCAACAACCACTCGATAGAGAGAGGTTTCTTAGTGCCAAGAAGGAAGAAAAAAAGTTCGCAAGAAGTGACAGAAATCGTACAACAAATTCAATAATTTCTGGAGTGGAATCACAGTCGATGGCCTCCACTCCAAAACAACAGATACTGATATTAGTCCCAGGAAAAAAAAGACCTTCCCCCAATACCACCAATCCAACGACATTCTCCTTTGCAAATATACAGGGTCTAAAGCCAGCAACGAACAACAAAATACCTTTCAACCGCGGACTGCTTACAGAGTCCAATGCATTCGCAGTTTTCACAGAGACCCAATAAAGGATCACTTGGACAACGAAATATGGATCCCGGGTTACAACCTATACTGATGTGACAGAATGAACAGGCAAAAGAGGGGGGTTGGCCTGTATATCACAGAGTCACTTATATGCTCAGAACTACTAAATGCCTCAAATGATGTAGCTGAAGTCTTAGTAGTAATGATCGAGAACCAAAATCTGGTCATTGTGGTTGTATACAAGCCTCCGGATGCAACGTCCCAACAATTCCAGGAACAGCTTTTGAAAATTGACCAGTCTGGAAAATCTTCCAGCTCCTGCCCCCAACATCTTGCTCCTGGGGAATTTCAACTTAAGGCACCTGAAATGGAGGAATGTAGCAAATAATGTTGTTGCCGAGATAACACCAGTAGGCAGCTCAGATGAAAGCTCACACACACACGCTTTTAAATATCTGCACAAAATTCACCTTAAACACATAACAGAGCCTACTAGACTGGAGAATACATTGGACATCATCTTCACTAACAATGATGATCTGATACGAAATGTCACCATATCAAAAACAATATACTCAAACCACAACATAACCGAGATTCAGACACGTATGTGCGGAGCCCCAGACCGACAAAATGTGATTAGTCACGAGGGAGCCTTCACCAAATTCAACTTCAGTAACCAAGTAAACCAAGTTCTAAATTATATAAACTGGGAAGATAGCCTAAGCAACACAGATCCCGACCTATGTCTAAAACAGAATAACTCTGTGGCACTCGATGTATGCTCAAGGCATATTCCTTTAAGAAAACGGAGAAGATGTAAACTAGAAAGAGAAAAGCGTTCCCTATATAGGCGAAGGCAAAGAATAACAGAGCGGCTAAAAGAGGCCAATATATCTGCAACACGTAGGGAGACACTGGTCAGAGAAATAGCAAACATCGAACTAAAGCTAAAGGAATCTTACAGGAATCAAGAATTGTGGGAAGAACTAAAAGCCATAAATGAAATCGAAAGAAACCCAAAGTATTTCTTTTCTTATGCCAAATCAAAGTCGAGATCAACATCCAGTATTGGGCCCCTACTTAAACATGACGGGTCCTACACAGATGACAGCAAGGAAATGAGTGAGCTACTCAAGTCCCAATATGACTCGGTTTTAGCGAGCCGCTAACCGGACTGAGTCGAAAACCTAAATGAAATTTTTATGAGACAGCAACAGAATTTCGTAAGCACAAGCCTATCTGACATTATCCTGATGCCAAATGACTTCGAAAAGGCGATAAATGACATGCCCATGCACTCTGCCCCAGGCCCAGACTCATCAAACTCTGTTCTTCAAGAATTGCAAGAAGCCGCTATCATGTGCCCTTAACATCCTATGGAGAGGGAGCATGGACATAGAGGTCGTCCCACACCTGCTAAAAACAACAGACATAGCCCCACTCCACAAAGGGGGCAGTAAAGCAATAGCAAAGAACTACAGACCGATAGCGCTAACGTCCCATATAAAAATCTTTGAAAGGGTTCTAACAAGCAAGATCGCCACCCTTCTAGATACCCATCAGTTACACAACCCAGGTTAAGAGCAGGTCGCTCCTGTCTGTCCGAGCTACTGGACCACTATGACAAGGTCCTGGATGCTCTAGAAGACAAACAAAATGCAGATATAAAATACACAGACTTTGCAAAAAGCCTTTGACAAGTGTGACCATGGCGTAATATCTCACAAAATGCGTGATAAAGGAATAACAGGAACAGTTGGTAGATGGATCTATAATTTCCTGACAAAAACAACACAAAGAGTAGCAGCAAACAGGGTAGTCTGAGGCGCCTACGGTTCAAAGTTCTGTTCCGCAAGACGCAGTACTCGCTCCCATCTTGTTCCTCATCCTCATATCTGACATAGAGAGGGATATAAGCCACAGTGCCATGTCTTCTTTTGCTGATGACACCCGGATTTGCATGACAGTGTCCTCCATTGAAGACACCGAAAGACTCCAGGTGGACAGAAAACAATATGAAATTCAATGATAAGAAATTTCAATTACTCTGATATGGAAAAAGTGAGGAAATTAACACTACATCGGAGTATAAAACAAATTCCAACCACACAATAGAGCAAAAAACTAATGTAAAAGACCTGGGAGTGACCATGTCGGAAGATCTCACCTTTAAAGACCATAACACTGTATTAATCATATCTGCAGGTGAAATTGCTGAACTAGAAAATGTACAGATAACATTCACGGCACACATAACTGCGATGAAACATTACAGGGAACGCTTGAAGTTCCTGAGCCTGTACTCCCTGGAACGCAGGTGGGAGAGATACATGATGATATACACCTGGAAAATCCTAGAGGGATTAGTACCAAACATGTACACGAAAATCACTCCCTGTGAAAGCAAAAGACTTGGCAGACGATGCAACATCCCCCCAATGAAAAGCAGGAGTGCCACTAGCACGATAAGAGACAACACAATAAGTGTCAGGGGCCCAAGACTGTTCAACTGGCTCCCAGCATACATAAGGGGGATTATCAAGAGACCCCTGGCTGTCTTCAAGAAGGCAGTGGACAAGCACCTGAAGTCAGTACCTGACCAGCTGAGCTGTGGCTCGTACGTCGGTATGCGTGCGGTCAACATTGACAGCCTGGTTGATCAAGCCCTGATCTACCATGAGGCCTATCACAGACCTGGCCGCGGGGGCGTTGACCCCCGGAACCCTCTCCAGGTATACTCCAGACACGACAGTAGGAATTTGTCGGCTAATTCTAGGGCTGAACATGATATGCACGCTACCAAAACGCCGTTAAAGCTTTAAACAGATGTTAGTGCTTGCTTGGCTAAGTTATCATCATTGTTATGTTATGCGCGATGTGGACGAGCGTCCCGAGAAGAGCACAGCGAGACGTCACCGGACGGAGGCTGGTGCAGACAATGTTAGCCTTGTACGCAGTTTGTAAACAAGCAAGAAATCCCACTATAATTGTATTTACCATGCGTATGCTTGTAAAGCACCAAAGAACTGAAAACAGGCATATAGCGGTTAATATTTACTTTAGTTGCTCTGATAAATATGGGTTATTATGTAATTTCTCCAACATTAAGTGGGTTATGCACTGGAGAGATTTAAATTTTGGGTCTCTGGAAAAAAAATATTTGGAAGTTAAACAAAATTATAAAAACCAAACTTAACGTATATTATGACTTAAATTCTACAACCTAACCTGGATTTTAAGTTAAATTCTATGATTGGTCGGGGTTTTTGTAACCAAAAATAAAAGCCTTTTCCTTACAGGCCTAAAATATAAGTGGCCCCACTGTATAACCCACCTAACATTCTAGAGCTTATATAATACAATTTCGATTACCTTGACTAAATACTTTACTCAACCCAAAACAAAACTTTAAATAATGTGTCCACAACACGAGATGTCTGTTACAAACCCCACTTCTTATCATACATCATGGCTGTCAACTATCACCCAAGTCCACCGAGGAGCTAAAGTATATATTGACCCGTACATTTAGTGATAAAATACAGTCAATATGTTTTGATAAAAGTTATAATAGCTTACCATACAGAGTTTACCGGACAGACCAACTGCTACAGTTATCTTCACTCGGCTGTTGCTGCGCCAACACTATAGTTGAGGCAGGATTCTGGTGCAAGTGTTGAGGGGTACCTACCAAGGATTCTCCATTTCTTTCCTACAGTTAATTAATGATACTTTACTAGTCCGAAATATTTTTGCGGATGTTATATTATTGTATATTATCAAATCATTTTATATGAAAATGAGCGACTTAATCTAAAAAAATATGTAAGTGATCATTGGCAGCGTGAGTTCTCGGAAAACTCGGTTATCTAAAAGTTTTGTATGCACTACAGGTACTTCGGATCAATATTACCTCAGTATTACTGCTCATGGAGCGGGAAGAGTGATGCAGTAGTGGCCAAAGAAGAGGCGGGGCCAGGAGCTGTGAATCGACCCCTGCAACCACAACTAGGTGAGTACGTGCCAGAAAATAATATATCCCTTGTGGATGGTAACATTCTCCTCTCCTCGACTGCACCATGACACGCAACTGTGTTTTCCCCCTCACTGCTTTTTGTAGATAAGACACATAGGCAACATTTAGGCAACATTATTCCGAAAATAATAAAGTCACCTAAATGTTGCCTATGTGTCTTACCTACCAACCTGTCGCCTGTCGGTATTGTATACCATTTGATAATCACACTGCTTTTTGTATTATTATTCTTTTCTATGAATATCGTAGAAAAGAACCTATAGGGAATCTGTATGGATTCTTGGTGTTGAAAACTACTCAAACCTGAGTTTAATGTTTTATAAGACAAAACACCAATGAAGTGTTCATCAGTAAAGCTATATTTTGTACTGCGATAATGTTATCACATTCCCAGAAAGCGTTAAACCCATGTGGCTAGTTAGTTCTACGCCATAAATGCAGATAAAACTAAATTTTTAACAATGACAAAATTTTGGGGGTCACACTAATTAATCTTTCAATATATAGTGAAGTTTCAAAATTGCCGAACTCACCTAGAATTTTTTTTTATTATTAACATTGGTTTTACCAAGCTATGTGGCCACCATGGTCTATGTAACGTATGAATTGTTTGCTTAACATACATCAGGAGAGGTTTCGAGTAATAATACATAGATTATCATTCGGTGCTTAGTAGCCTGGTAACTAAAGCTTTACACGGCGAGGGTCCAGTTTCGATTCTCGGCGAGGGTAGAAATATTGGGCGTGTTTCTTTACACCGGTTGTCTTTCTTCACCCATCAGTAAAATGGGTACCTGGGAGTTAGTCGACTGGTGTGCGTCGCATCCTGGCACAAAATGACCTAATTTGCCCGAAATGCTCAGTATAACAAGCGGTTTTCTATATAGTAGTATGTCATTGATGTCAGCTAGGACTGTATACCTTGTACATGTACTTGTAGTAAATAAAGATATTATTATTATACAGAGCAGCATATGTGTAGAGAACCTAGGATAGCCCAAAAAAGTTAGACAGTGACTTATTTCCATTGGGGTCCATTTATTACCTTATTATTATATATAAACTAGATAATATCTTATTATTATGCTATAAAGGGGATATACTAAGACTAAGGTAAACTGAGTTATTTATATTTGCGTGTGTGTTAGCTAAAAATCTAAAAAATCATTCTCCTCCCTTTCTGTCGCTACATACTTAAAGCACCTTTTGGCTCTCTTCTTGAACTGGTTCATGCTATGATTGGCTTTGACATGTTCAGGCAGCCTGTTCCATTTCTTTAATGCTGTACAATAAAAGGTGTTTGAAACCTGGCCACTGACTGTGGGTACTACAAAATTGTTCTTTCTCCCCCTAGTAATATGACTGCTTTCGTTCCCAGCCTTGACAAAACTGGCAGCAAGATATTCTGGACACTGTTTGTGAGCAGTTTCAGAAACTTGATTCAACTTCAGTTGTTTTACTCTGTTTTCAACAGTCAGCATATCCAACTGTTGTAATTCATCCTGGCTTACATGCTTTCTTGGACCCAGGTCCAGGATGAATCTTACCATTTTGTCCTGGGTGATTTGTAGTCTTTCAGTTCTTTTGTCAAGGCAGAGTACCATGAAGAACAAGCATACTACATATTACATTTTATAATAGCTAGACATAGGGTCCTGCGAGCCTCAGTAGGTAGACACTGTGCTTGTCTATAGAGGAACTTCAGTCTGGCATTCACTCTCTTTGCTACACTGTTCCCTATCAATTCTGACATGCTTGGGTCAAAGGGGATTCCCAGATATTGAGGAACTTAAGTGATGGGTTCCCCATTATATCGGACATTAAAATTATTTACCCTCCTAGTATATGTTTTGTGGTAGATTAGATTTTAAATTTTGCTACCGAAGTGGCTAGTTTATTGTGCACCCCATATCTATACTGTGGACGGAAGCGCAAGAGCATTTGGATACACAAAAGCCCTAGGAACTAGGCCCAAAAGGGTTAACATTTGTACATATGGATTCATATCTACATATCTACAAGCAAATTTAGGAAATTTGCTTAGCATATCTGGTATTTTATTTTCATTAATAAGATATCTTGACATGTCACATAGGTTATTATACTGTCTGTCTCTGTATTCCTCAATAAGTGGACAATTAAGCACATAGTGTTCAAAACAGTGGCCATATGCCTGATCACATAATTTGCATTTAGTTTGATCATCATCTGTGTTTCTCCCAAACTGTCAGAAGTAATCGTAACCAAGCCTAAGCCTGGCCACTACAACATCAGACAGTCTATTCACATTGTAAGTTACTCCATAAACATATTAAAATACGTTCATGTTATCATAGTGGGTTATAGATTTACTCAGGCTTCTAACTGCATTCCTTTAACAATCATTTTCATTATTTACTTCTCTCCTAATATTATTCCTAATGCTAGACACGGTAGAGAATATGGGATAAGGGGTCGAAGAGGATACTGACTTACGTATTGTAGATAGCACTGCTGGTGCCGCTGAGATGCCAGGGCTGTCACGGGGATAACCGTGACAGCCCTGGCATCTCAGGGAAGGAAACATGACTATCATCAGAGGGCTGAACATCTTGAATATAATGGCGTACTAACGCCGAGGCAGTGACCCAAGTTGGTGATATGGGTGGTGTGATTGAGAGTGTAGATACCAAGGTCTTCAAAGAAGTTCTTATAGCAGAACGTGAAGCTGGAGCCTCAAGGGAGTGTAACGTCATTTTTTTTTTTTGCCTTTATTTCTACACGTACATGTACAAGGTATACAGGCTTAGCTAACGTCAGTGACATACTGCTATATAGAACGCCCCCTTGTTATGTAGAGCATTTCGGGCACATTAAGTCAATTTTGTCTCAGGATGCGACCCACACCAGTCGACTAACATCCTGGTACCCATTTCACTGTTGGGTGAATATGGACAGCAAGTGTCTTAGGGAAACACGTCCTAATGTTTACAGCCGTACCGGCGATTGACCCCTGGACCTCAGTATGTGGTCCGAGGGTGTGCTAAACCCACCAGGGTCATACAGCACTGTGTGTGAAGTCAGGAAAGAAAGAAACTATAAGCTGTGAGAAATAAATGCAAACAAATGAATGGCCATAAATCTGAATGGATTGTGGATCAGTGTTAAGAAGTGTTAGATATCGAGTATGGTTAGAAGGTTCAGTGTGAATGCAGTCCTCTTACAAAAGACAGTCAGAATCTCCAACCGGAGAGATATAAGGCTTACCTGTTGCCGCAGAAAACAATATGAAATTCAATGATGTGAAATTTCAATTACTCCGATATAGAAAACGTCAGGAAATTAAAATTACATCGGAGTATAAAACAAATTCCATCCACACAATAGAGCGAAAAACTAATGTAAAAGACCTGGGAGTGACCAGTCAGAACATCTCACCTTCAAGGACCATAACATTGTATCAATCGCATCTGCTAGAAAAAGACAGGATGGATAATGAGAACCTTCAAAACTAGGGATGCCTAGCCCATGATGACACTCTTCAAATCGCCTGTCCTATCTAGGCTGGAATATTAGTGCGCACTAACAGCACTATTCATGGCAGGTGAAATTGATGACCTAGAAAATGTACAGAGAACCTTCACGGCGCCCAGAAGTGCGATAAAACACTGGGAACGCTTGAAGTTCCTGAACCTGTACTCGCTAGAACGCAGGCGGGAGAGATACATGATCATATACACTTGGAAAATTCTAGAGGGATTAGTACCTAACTTGCACACGAAAATCACTCCATATAAAAGCAAAAGACTCGGCAACATCACCCCAATGAAAAGCAAGGGTGCCACTATCACCATGAGAGACGCAATAAAATACCGTTTTACCACATTTTTCTGAGTTTTTTAATGTTTCTCGTATTTTTAAAAAATATATGAAATATTCAATAATAATATATATATTATGGACTTTTACGAACGAACCACAGCTGGGCTGTGGTTCGTACGTCGGTTTGCGTGCGGCCAACAGCAACAGCCTGGTTGATCAGGCTGTGATCCACCATCAGGCCTTGTCACAGACCGGGCCGCGGGGGCGTTGACCCCCGGAACCCTCTCCAGGTATACTCCTGGTATCTGTGTCTCTTCAAGGAGAGTTGCAGTCCTTGTTAGGGAGCACAGTCCTGTGTTGCACAGTCCTGTATTGCAGTCTTGTGATGCACAGTCCCGTGTTGCACAGTCTTGTGTTGCACAGTCCTGTGTTGCACAGGAGTGAGAGGGGAGAGTATTACAGGTGGATGTATGTTGGATGGGTGTGAAAGTGGAGAGCGTATGTGTGTGTACTCATCTGTTTGTGGTTGCAGGGGTCGATTTACAGATCCTGGCCTCGCCTCTTCGTAAGTCGTTAATAGGTCCACTCTCTCTGCTCCAAGAGCTTTATCGTGCCTCTTCCTGTCTCCACTACATCACTCTCCAGATTGTTTCACGTCCTGACAATTCTATGACTGAAGAAATACTTCCTAACATCCCTGTGAATCATCTGAGTTTTTAACTTCCGGTTGTGTCCCCTTGTTTCTGAATCCCATCTCTGAAACATTCTGGCCCTGTCCACCTTGTCAATTCACCTCATGTCCCACTTACCCTCCTGTCCTCCAGTTTACCTGGAGAGAGTTCCGGGGGTCAACGCCCCCGCGGCCCGGTCTGTGACCAGGCCTCATGGTGGATCAGGGCCTGATCAACCAGGCTGTTACCGCTGGCTACACGCAATTCAACGTATGAACCACAGCCCAGCTGGTCAGGTACCGACTTTAGGTGCCTGTCCAGTACCTGCTTGAAGACAGCCAGATTGAGTTCCTTCAACCTCTCCTCATAGGTCATACCCCTTAACTCCGTGTGTGTGTGTGTGTGTGTCTGTGTACTCACCTATTTGTACTCACCCATTTGTGGTTGCAGGGGTCGATTTACAGATCCTAGCCACACCTCTACGCTGGTCGCTGCTAGGCCCACTCTCTCCCTGCTGCTCGAGCTGTGTCTCTGTATGTACTCACCTAATTGTGGTTGCAAGGGTCGAGCTCAGCTCCTGG